CCCATAAACAAAAATATAACTTAAAAAGATGGGCACATCTGAGCCCATCTTTTAGTGTTCCAATGAAATACCTAAGACTGACTATATACTTTATTTGAATGTAGTTCTGGAGGCTAGACAGTGCACAGCATGCTGTAACATTTGAACATCATCTGGGGAGGATATTTTTATTGTGTCATCACAGGATGGAAGGCATCTGAAGTGGAGTTAGGCAAGGCCAGTAGCCCTTTCCTTGAAGCCAGAGAATGCTTTGATAGGGTCCTAACCTTGTGAATTCACCTAACCCTAATTACATTCCAAAGCCACATGCATTCAGGAATTCCTTTGCACATAAAGTCTGTGAATCACAGTCAAGCTGTGACAAATGTAATTCTAAGCCTCATTGTAAGACAATAAACTGCACAACTACTAGTAGAAAAAGAAAAGGAAACCTGCAATCCTTAGATATGGCAATAGTTTCTTAATATAACAGAAAAGCATAAGGCACAAAAATGGTAAGTTTTACTTCATTAAAGTTACATGTTTTATGCATCAGATAGTCCACAGAATGGGAACAATATTTGCAAATCATATACATGAGAGTAATTCAATATCAAAATACATAAGTCCTACAATTCAACAAAATTGGCAAGCAGCCCAATTTTTAAACTGATTAAGTGATTTGACCAGACATTTCTACAAAGGTAACAAACAACCATCAAGAAAATAAGTTGTTCCATATTATTGAACATTTGAACAGGAAAATCAATAAAATATCATTTCACATGCCTACAAATACCTGTACATTTTTACATGAAAAATAAGAAAGAGGCTGCCAGTGGCATGACGAATTGGAGCACTCGAACATTACTGTGGAAAACATAAAAACAGGGCTATGTTTGTGGAAATAATTTCACCATTTCTAATAAAAGTGAAAGCTAGCTTAGGAAGTCATTCAGCTAGCTCTTTATACAAAGGCCCTGATGACTTTATAGAAATCCCACCCTCACAAGTTCATGTGATCCTGATTACAGCAACTTCTAGGTATAGATAAAGCAAAATTAGAAACATGTGGTTGAATAGACCTTAAAGCACACATTCACAACAGGTTTATTTACATTAGTCAAAGAGTGACCACAATCTTCCTGTCATTGCAATTAAACAGATAAACACACTGAAAACTACACAAGCAACAGGCTATTGTTCAGCCAGGGAATGAGTGGAGTTTCTATTCTGCCTCATTTAGGGAGGACTCCCTAGAAAAAGAGAATCAATAGGTTACTTATGTAATAGTAAAAGTGGGCTTATTAGCTTGCCCTACTTACTCCTCAAACAATGACGCTAGAGACATAGATAATCCTTCTCAATAAAGGTAACAAAATGTCTCAGGAGAAACAGGACCAGTGATGAAGCCTGAGTTTGAAGGAAAAAAACAAAACAGCTTTTGCGTTCCTAGAAAGACTGAAGCTGTCATGGTCTGCCGTCTTTGGATGATGGTAGCAGAATAGACACAATTCATTCAGAAGGAATGGAGCTTGCACAGACTGGCTGCCTTTCTGTCTTTCTACTTCATTTTTTTTTTTGTTTTGTTTTGTTTTTGTTTGTTTGTTTTGGTCTGGTCTGGAGTGGTTATGCTCACAGTAAGGGATGGTTTCACCTTATCTGCTGTTGAACTCATACTAGTCCCCCCTCTGTCAACATCCTTACAGACATAACCTAAAGTGTGCCTTACTGGTTCCTTAAGTATCACTCTAGATTCAGCAAAAAAAATCTACATGAATCAGCCAGTCCTAGTTCATTTCCTTTCCTGAGGCTTTGGAGCCTGTAGTGGGGTAGGTAATACATCACAGCAGGGCTTATGTGGTGGTAGGAACTGAACAATTCAAGGCCTGGACCTAGAAAGGAAAAGAAAACAGGAAGTCCCCAGGACTCCTCTCAAGGACACAGTTGTAGTGATTCAACTTTCTCCCACTAAGCCTCACCATCAAAGTTCTACTATCTCCCTCCCAGTAGTCCCATAGGCTGAGGACTGAGCCTGCAGGCAAAACTCACCTAAACCACAGCAAGATGATAGAGTGAAACACCTTTGGTATTTATATTTGCTCAGACAGTATTGGAAGCACACACAAAATAAACCAATTTATTTATAGACAACATTATTACTTGGGCTTTACATGCTAGTGTTTTACACTAAATTTTTTATGGGTTAAAGTGCAGAAATACTTTTGCTCTTGCTGGTAAATTGTTAATCCCATGTTCCCTGAATTCACTCTGTCTCAGGGTCTTATGTTGGGATAGATGGTTGCCCTATACTCAAAGTAGTAACACTTAAACCTAGTAAACACAAAGGTCTTGTAGGCTACTGCAGGGTAGGATTGGATAGTAGCCTTAGGGAAGAGATCATGCACACCAAGCCTTTCCATATCCTTTGACTCTTGGATCATGTTAACATAGTGCTTATTTAAAACTACGAAATGTAGAGACTAAAATAAGTAACAGAACAAGCTAGCTTAAAAATGTCATCAGTTAAGAAACTTGACCTACATTTGTACATGAAAATTATACTGGCACAAAGAACAAGGAAGTTTGAGGAACAACAAATCCTGGAGAGAAGCTTGAATATCCAGAAAGAGACTAGAAAGATAACTCTGGGTCAGGTGGGAAAGAAACACTATGTAGGTATGGATTAGTTTGCACTAATTATGTAATGGGGGTAAGTTGATCCGAGTTGTTTTGTTTTAAATTAACAGAATTATTTAAAAATCTTCATGTGTTAGAAAAGAAACTGACAACTGGAGGGAGGTATGGAGAGTAGAAAAAAAGATGGAGTAGGAAGTTAAAGATTCTGCCAAGAGAAGTAATGGCAGGGAAAACAGTCGTGATAATACTGTTGAGGACAACAGCTTGCTGTTGAGATGGTTATAAAAGGAGAAATAAAAGATGACTCTAAGGTTTCCAGATTGGCTGATGAATAGAGAAGAGTTTGCCCTTTATTACAGGGAATTAATTCTAAATGGAACATTATTCAGAGTTTTGATTGTGTAAAATGTAAATCTATTGAGAGGCAAAGAGAAAGTATGATGTAATATGGACTTCAACTGAAAAGTTATTATATAAGTGGCAATGACTTTTTCCATTTTATTTATGAATGACTAAGAAGATATTTTCCTGGAAAAAAGGATCATTTATACATAAATGAAGTCTTAGCTCGAAGAACAAAATTGTAAGGTCATGGCTACAGAATCTTGTGAGCTAGCTTTTGCAAACACATTTTTCTTTAACTAAAATAAGTTAGACATGTGGCATGCAGAAACAGTCTCAGGGTAATGCCACCCATGCTAGCATTTTTTTCTATAAAGAAATAAAACATAAATATGACTTATCAAGATAATATATAATTTTCCCCATTAATAGCACAGTACTCTTTTAAAATTGATAGTTTCCTCAGATTGCAAATTATGGAAATAGAAGATTCACAAAACCATTATGACCAAAAGGGATTTTTTACATAACCACTTTGTATACCCTCAGCTTCCCTTTTTTGCTGCTAGGAATTAAGCTTTTCATGTGGTTGTATTCATGTTCTTTATTCCATTGCTTTCTTTTTGCATGCATGATTACTTCCCCCCAGTCATTCACGGTTGACATTTCTCAGAAGATGAACCTAACCCTGCTCCTGTTTTATCTCCTAACTTCTAGAAAAGTTTACAGTTTACCCCAAGTAGGGCTTCAATTTCCAACTACTTTCTGGTGATTTCCCCACTAGTCCCTCTGTGTTCTAACCTATAGACCTTTCCTGTTGACTGTAAGTGCAAATAACCTGCTTCTTTACACTATCCATGTATATGTTTCAAAATACACTTCACACTACTTAGATATAAAGAATATTCGGTCATTTCCTTCAAATTTGCCATGTTCTAGTGTTCCTATATGTATAATTGGGTTTCTGTTGCTGAAATAAAAACACTCACCCAAAACCACTAGAGTAGAGGAAGGCCCATTAGGGTTATGTCCATTATTTAGGGATGCCTTGGTAGGGACTCAGACAGCAACCTGAAGGCAGGACCTAAAGCAAAGACCATGGAGGAATGCTGCTTACTGACTTGTTTTCCATATTTTGTCCAGCTTGCTTTCTTATAACCCAGTACCACCTGCCCAAGGATGGCAGCATTCAGTGGGCTGGCAAGAAATTACCCCCACAATATGCCCTTAGGCCAGTGTGATAGAGACAATTCCTCAGTTGGGATTCTCCCTTCCTAAGTGATTCTCCTTTGTGTCAGCTGTCAGAGACAAGCACAGCTGATCTCCTGTCAGATGCTTGATTCAGAGTATCACATAAACATCGCTGATAGCCTTTGCTTCCCTTTAAAACTTTACAAGCCAGACCTCCTCTCTCTCTCTCTCTCTTTCTCTCTCTCTCTCTCTCTCTCTCTCTCTCTCTCTCTCTCTCTCTCTCTCTCTCTCTCTCTCATCATGCCTATTGTACCAGTTCTCCCAAGAGGTCATTAAGCTCTGAGAATTCAGAGGCCTTTCCTAGCACAAAGCTCTCAACTCCTCCCACAATCATCCCAAGAACCCTGGCCAGGTCCCACTCTCTGGTACCAACTTCTTCACTGTTTAGGGCTTTGTTGCAAAACCAGCTTGGAGGAGGAAATCATTTAGTTTACTGTTTATTGTCAATGGGGGAATCCAAAGACAGGAACTGCAGGTAGAAACATTTTGGAAGGAACTAAAGCAGAAAACATGGGAAAATATGACTTACCGACTTGCTTTCCATCGCTTGCTCAGCTTGCAGTGTTACGCAGCCTAAGACTACCTGACCAACAGTGGGATAGACCCTCCCACGTTAATCATTAATCAAGTAAATGACCACACACACATTCCCACAGGCAATACCTCAACCGATGTTGCCTCTTCCCGGGTGACTCTATAGTTTTTGTCAAATTGACAGAAACTAACAAACTTCCTGTCTTAAGGAACTTACCACTCTTTCAAGTATCAGACAAGTCAGAATTCTAGTGTCTTTTTAACATTTAGTTTTTATTAAATCCCTGCAGCCATTTCATCAACAAAACCAGGCAGCCATGCTTCCTATCTTACATCTGGTTTCTTCTTTATTTCTGTAGTGACAACCCTCACTCCAAACTACCAATATCTATTGTTCTCCTAGATTATAAAGATTTTGTAACTACTCCAATTATCTTCCATAGTGGAAAAAAAAAAAAAAACTATTGCATGGAATTATTTAGCTCCATGAAGGAAGAAGGAAATCTTATATCAGGTTCTAAATTTCCTCTATAAAAGATGGCAATTACTCAAATACGCAAAAGGAACATGTATGCACATCACGTTGTTACTACTAATCATTAATAACACCATGCCCTGTATGCACATCACGTTGTTACTACTAATCATTAATAACACCATGCCCTGGTTGGACACATTATATATCATCATAAGCAGTCAGAGCCTCCTAGCTAGTTGGATAAGTGGTTTGAGAAGTGGTAGACTTTACACCTGCTTTGAATCTGCCTTTCCAAAGCCAGAGCTTCCCATCTGAATTTTCCCAGTCACTCTCTCCCAGATGATCCTAGGATCATCTGAAAGCCTGGGGAAGCCCCGATGTGCTTCTCCAACACGGGTGAGAAGGTCTGTGGTATGAAGGTGTTCGTCTATTTTCTCTTGAAGTAGAAGCGACTCTAGAAGAGTCTTCCTACGTTTCAGGAAGTCAGACCGAGCCAGCTGTGCTCTTTTGCTAATGCAACTGGGACACTGGGAAGAAACATGTTGCTTAACAGCCCCTATGTGCGCTAGAGTCGCCCTCGTGTTCTTCAAATAGACTCTGTTCCACAGTTCATCGGGAACAATACAACTGCAAGCATCTTCCTCTGAAGTCTCTGCAATCCCTCTGAACTGCAGCCTTTTGCGTCTGCGGCTTTTCTTTGCTCTTGAATCCTCTCTCTGGTGGATCAGGTTTACTTTCATAGTACAGAAAGACTGCAGGGCATTCAGTTCTTCGGCGGACCCGCCAGGGGTTTCTGTTAGGAGTCTACTGTCGGATTGGTATCTTTCGGAATTAATTTCTTTGAGCTTGATGTGGTTGATCCACTTTTGACTCAGCTTATTTTCATGCTTCTGTAAGACTGAAAGTTCTGGCTGCTCGTCTCGTTCTTCTGAACTTGTAGGTGCCTTCTCGCTCTCTAGTGGGCTCTCAGAGATGTGGGAACAGGATTGTTCCTCTCTGGAGGAGCTGATGGAACCAGAACTCAGTACCTCATCAGTACAGGACCTGAGGATCTCTTCAGGAAGTTGAGTAGCACGTCCGTCTGTCTGGGCCGGGCCTCCTTGCTCTTCTGAGTCACCCTGCTCCTGGGCAGATATCCATTCCATTGCTTCGGACTCAGTTCCTCAATTGCTTTGCTCTGGTTAAAAATGGTCCTGGAATCAATAAAGATGACCCGGTAGGACACGATCTTCGGTGTCTTTGGTTGCCGCGAGCCAAGGCTTCCGGGTACGCCTTTCCTGGTTGCCGTGGCAACGCGCGCGCCAGTCATGCGCAATCAGTGATCTCTGGAGGCTCACCCCTTTTCCTCTCCTGCCTGGGCGGTCTCCAGGGTCTTTATTCAGCTCTTAGGCCGCCTGGAGTGCTGTTTAAAATGTTTAAAACACTACAATTTAAGGGAAAGGCCTCAAACTCCTTTCCCTCCAGGTCAAACCAGACTACTTACATACGTGGGTATGTACATAGAGGCACATGGGTGGTCTGTGACAAAACAAAGAATGCAGCTTGATTCAAGGAATACAGCTTTTACAAAAAGTGTTCCCTAGAGTCTGCAACAGAAGAAACATGCCTGGCTTAGAGCCAAGGGAGAAGCTTGTGGACATGCCTCAGGATAAAAACAGAAATACTGACATATAATACATATTCTTTAGAGCCTCAGCACAGTGCTTCCAGGATCCTGAAGACTTTGCAGTCTCCCCAAACCACAGCCTTGGGTGCTGCCTCCTCCAACGGCCAGGTCAGCGCCCTCCTCTCTGTGTGCCTTGCTGTATGATTATTACTTCTACAAGTACCATTTCCATCCGAAGGGCTTCACAGTCCCTTTCTGGGCTAAACATCTGAATCATCTTTGAAGCTGCAGATACAACTACTCAAAAATTCTCGGTCGGTGTGTGTAATGACTGGAGTTGGATATCGACTTACACAAGGACAATGGGTTTGTGGCTTAAATAATTCCTCTCCAATCTTCAAACTTAGGTAGGTACTGACCCATGGTACATTCCTTTATTTGGGTCTCTTAAAAGACATTATCACAAGCCCAGATGGTCTGACACAAGGCACATCCTGGCCAGCCTGATGCTGATCCTAGGACCTATACTTGGCAGAAGGAGAAGAGAATGGACTCCCAAACTCACACTGTCTTCTTTCTGCCCTCTCCTATTCCCCAACCCCCTTTCATTCCTCCCCCCTACCCTTCAACACCCCCCCCCCCCATACCCGGCCTACTTTGGCAAGGTCAACTGTCTGAAATATTCAAAGATCATCTGAGAAATGCAATCGGCCTTCATTTAATGATAAGAACTTTCCAGGTTCATTCTTTTTCAGCCAAATCAAAGACAGCAGACAGATAATTTTGGCTCTAAGGGATTTCCAACAGGAATCACATTTTTATTTTAAATTTTTATTTCAAAAACCTCCCTCATCCTCCCATTCATATTTCCAAGCAAGTCATTATTTCCTCCCTTTGAACAAGGACTAAATCTTAATTAAAATGCAACCTCTAATTGCCTCAATGTGCTAATTACCCAGACTAGCCTGCCTTTTATTTTTTCAATCATGTTCTAAATTCATCTCAGTTTAGAAAAGAAATAACTCTCTCTGAAACAGAAAGTATCAATAGGGAATTGTATGATTAATCAATGTCTCTATATAAGCAGCTAGATAATGGATGTTTAACCTTCTAATAACTTGTTTAAAGAACAGCTGCAATGTACCATTACTGTCAGATGATATTCATGAAGATAGAGGTCAAAGTTTGAGTTTTAAAAATAGAAACTGTCATTAATCGAATGCCTTTTCAACTGTATTGCAGAGTGAAGTTTCAAGGTGTTTCTGTTTTAAAATCCTTGTCCCTATTATTTGTTTCCAGTCTGTACATTAAAGAGAACATGTATGTTTGTTGAATTCCACATAAGAGAATCATCAGTGCAGAGTGTGCACAGTTTAAACTACTCTGTGGCGGTGGCAGAGACAACTGTGTTTCATAGAGAATATTAAAAGATACATGTGAACAAGCAGAATGTTGCATTTTTTTTAAATTAACAACATTTCAAGTGAGTGAAAAAACTAAGAAACCACACAGAGTGAAAGGGTAGTAGGGAGTTACAGTTTCCCATCCGATCCCAAGTGCTCTTCATACAACACTGAGGGATGGATGTGGATTACTTCCACTAGCTTTATGAAATGCAAATTCAATCAGGAGTCATTGGAGGAAATCACAGTAAGACACATTCAACATTTCTTTTTTAATCAGAAAATGAAAGAAAAAAAATCATGGAATTGACAGAGAGGAAATATTTATATACATTCCAGAAAGTTCAATAAATAGTAGTTCAGTGTCTCGATAATTGTATTACAGAATTTATACTTTAACTTATTTACAAATTTCAGAATCATTTTTTCAGATTTATACAAACAATTCTCTCTAAATTTGCAAAGAAATGTTCCTTTTTGCTTGTTTGTTTGTTTAATTCTTTGAATTAATGTAATTTCCCTTAGGAGTACTTATCTGAGTGGCTGTGGGAAACCATTAACTTGAGAGTCAGTAATATTCCAGACTTTTCATATTTGTCAATATCACTAGAGCAAATATTCAGTAAATGCTAACATTTATCCTCCATTTTCCCTTCCTCCCTCCTCCCTCGGTCCCCCCATCCCTCTCCTCTTTACTCTTCCCCCTCCCCCCTAAGTGGGAGCCATCGGGAGAATGGAGTTCTCAGGGCATTTCACACAAGGTATTTCCCACAATCATGTTCTGTCCTCATGGTTATCTTCACTAGACTTCATTTTAAAAATATATTAACTTATCACTTAGTCTGCTTTGGGAGAGAGGAAAAAGAGCACATTGCTACACACTGTGTGCCTTTTAAAAATACATTCAAGATGTCACCCAGAAGCCACATACAGATACCCTTCCTTGTTTCTCTCAACAATTTACCATGTTTCCCGTTATAAGAATGTACTGTATTTTGGTGGACAGATTCTAATTATTCTTTGTACCTCAGAAGATGCCTATTCTGTATGATCTCTAATGGTGAGATCTCTAACAGTGAAGACTGAAGATCATGTAGTTTTCCAGTTGCCCCATATAAGAAGTGTCACTTAGGCATTTCAGCCATAAACTATATAAAAATAACTAATAACCAGAGAGCATGGCTCCTGTGTGTTATTTATTCAAATTTGTGGACCTTTGCAAATTTGCATATCTTGAATTATGTCTTAATATAATGAGAAATTATTAGAGAAATAGAACAGATTTTTATATAAATAAGGGTCATTTAGATTTTTAGGAGGTGTGTGTATTTTTACTTATTTCTTCTACTCATTTTACCTTAGCACTTTTTACTTTCCAATTATTTTAAAGCATTCAGTGACACTTTTTGTGTTAAAATTACAATTCATTTTCTGTGATGCCCTATCAGCTCGACTTTTTATTTACTTATGCTGTTTACTGTCATGAAAAGGTTTTCATTTTACATCAAATTTTCAGTCGTTTCCCGAATTGTTCTTAGACTGTATTAGATTTCGAAGGTACTAGTCATCTTATTTAACTAGCTTCTTTTTGTTGCTGCACAGTGCTTTCTATTTTAACACACATGACCACAGGCACACACATGTAAACACCATCCAACTCTGGATGCAAAACATCTTGTTCCATCTCCTTTGCATTCTGAACTTACCCATGTTATCTATAACAAGTTCTTTCTATTGATTTTTTTCCTATGAGTTTTCCAACTCACAAGCATATATTCAAGCTAGACTGGCCACTTTATTTTATGTCCTTAAAGATTTTTTTGGGGGGGAGGGGCATTGGAGGTTGACCCTGGCTTCTCCACCAATTTAACAAGCTGTGTGTCACCAAGTGGTGCCACTGCCTCTTATTTTAAGTCTGTCATCTATAATTACATTGTCTTTTCTAATTTCATTGACGATTACCTCAAAGGGTAAGCAAATTATTTTTAAACTTAGAAAATGTTTCCATTTTCTAAATTAGATATTTATCTTTGTTCTGGTTTGTAAATTACATAGACAATGTCTTGTTGTTTAGAAATGCTTTGACATTAGAGAAATAAGAATTCAAATGATTGGCATTATACTTAATTATCCTAAAAATATTATTGCAAATTTTTCATAGGCTTAAGTAAATAGATAATTAGACTTTCAGAGAAATGTATAAATTAATAAGAGCTCTCCAACAAAAAGTGCTAAATTTCTCATCTATGTTGCTTTAGTATTTCCAGTGCATTATTTACTATTCCCAGCTTTAAATTTTTAAAATTTAAAATTGAGGGCTGGAAATCTAGCTACATTGGTAGAACATTTGCCTCACGTGCTTGAATTGTTCAGCACTGCAGAGAATGTAAATAATTTTCAATAAATTTTTGAAAATGTAGTAGGTTTATATTTTTGCATCATTCCTATATATGTGATACTTAATTTTAAAGTAAATATTTAGAAACAAATACTTCACTTTTATGTTACTATTATATATAAAGAAACAACAGAAAATCTGAGCCCAGGCATTATGAATGACCCCGTCTTCTTTTATTTTTATGAAAAAAAACAATACATAACACAATAAAATATAAGATAAACCAGAGACCACCATCATATTGAAGTTGGACAGGAAAAACCTTATGGAAAGCTAAGAATAATTCTCTCTCTCTCTCTCTCTCTGTCTCTCTCTCACACACACACACATATACAAGGTATTTGTAGGGGTGTTTCCTTCTAAGTGCTGTCAGAAAATATTTGTTCCAAGGCCTTCCTCTGATTTATAGATGGCCATATTTTTGTGACCACATTGTATTCTCTCTCTACACATGGCTCTATGTCCAAAGTCCTCTTTTTACAAGGATGTTAGCCATATGAGATTAAGGCACAACCTAATGACCTCACTTTAACTTGATTATCTCTGTAAAGACCCTGTCTCCAAATAAGGTCACATTCTGCATTCTGAGTTGCTGGAGATCAAGACTGCTATGTAAAACTTTAGGTTTGTATGGAAACCAGATTAAAGTCTAATTAAGCAGTATACTTTTGGGGTAGATGTTTAGAATGAAAATTGCTAGCAACCTGTTTCCTGAGGGTGGGCGGATGAAAATTGTTAAACATAGGGACCTAA